GTGTGTGTGTGTGTGTGTGTGTGTGTACCTGTTGCTGCATCAGTTGCAATGGAAGAGCTGTGCACGGTGGAGAAACGGGAGCGTCGTCCGTACTACTTCTTCTGCGAAGACACTCGAAGTTGAATGTTGGTGTGTGGGAGGCTGAGAGGACATGCAGGAAAAAAAAATATTACATCTGAATCAAAATGTGGTTGTTTACGTTCACATGGATTTGTAAGCAAAACAACTGGATTAAATGCACATATCTGGAATGCTTTAACAGAAATTGGTGAGTTTATGATTGATTAGACTGAATTAATCCACTTTATACGATTTCAGTTGATGTGAAATAATCTATCAATCCCACCCAAAAAAAACGATTAATGAATAAAGACTAATAGTTAAAGCACCTTGAGGTGATGGTAAAAACCATCTCCTTGGTGACCGTCGGCCATCTTGGCAGATAGGCTGTTTGTCATTGTCATAGTAACCATCAGATTGGCAGTCATCCCTGGAGAGGTCAAAATCTCCCTCTGAATCATTATGAAAGTTTGTCCTGGACAACCTTTGACATAAAAAAAGATAAAAATATGAAATTAATTATGTTCATTCTTACTGAATAATAATTCTGGAAGGAAAAAATAGTAAAAAAAAAACTGCATTAACGAACGAGTCACTGTTGTATTTTTGTAAAGATGTTGTAGAGTTTTTGCTGTCACCTCTCCTTTGTGAGCATGATGTCATCCTCGTGAAATTCCTCCCCACTAAAATACTCTCCAGAGCCTCGCTCGTCATCACTGTCACCGCCCCCCGGCTGCTCTCGACGAATAGTAGGATAGAGCCCTCCACCATTTTTTGACCTGTTATTAAAAGCACAAAGACTCTTAGTTTAATATTATTTTAACAATGCAGAGCTGCTTTTATTTATTGTTCAACATGCAACTGTTTCATCACTTTGTTCCAAGTTTCCTGGAGGTCATTGTAGAGTTGGTGCATTAAAGCACAAACATAACAAGAGAACACCAAAACTCCCCAATACAAAGTTACATTTACTCACAATGCATATTAAACTTAAGTTAATTTTTTATGGTCCAATCAGCATTGTTTGACACTCATCTTCAAAAATCAGCATATTTATTGGGGAGTTTGTAGTCCAACATACCTAATGTAGGCTTCATAGTAGCGCGTCCTGCTTCACAACAAAAGAAGTTCAGTCAGAGTTTTGGAACAGGAGAGCAGGATGGGAGGTGGAACAGATCATGCATGTAAGGACAAAGAAAACATCGTCAGATACAGTTTTTGTTTTTAGTTTGCACAGATTGTAAATCAACTGTTTTTGGCCTGTTTTCCAAATGACTGCATCTTTGCACCACCCTGAATTCCTGTAATTTGTTTCAACTCGCAGCATAAAAATGAGAAAAGGGCCGCACGAAATGCTCATAAAACACTAACTGCAGTTCTAAATGTAAGTTGTAGATGCTGAACATGAAAAACAGATAAAAGTCAAATTTTACTGTTTAGTTTTCCACTATAATCACCTCATTTATGTCTCCGTTCCCATTATACATAGACGTCTATAAATCCCAAATCTGTAAAGTTCTGATAATACAAAGAGCAATCAAAGACGAAGTGGAACAAAATAAAAATGACAAATCTGTCGGGTCAGTTGGATCACTTGATAATCCACCAACCTTGTGGAGTGCGACTTCCACGATCTGTTGTGCAGGCCTCTGCTGTAGGTCGTCGAGGATGCATTCCTGGTGGAGGAAGGCCGCCGACGCTGTAATAAACACCTCTGTTGCCTCCCAGAGGTCACGGAGAGGAGCGAGGGGACGTTGGCGTTGTTGAGGTTGGCGTTGGAGGGGATCGGCGACCGGCGGCAGGTGGAGTTGCAGTGAGGGTAATCGTACAGGTGAGGGCTGGGGTGGTGATTATACTGGACGGGCGAGGAGTTCATCTCCGTTTCTCCCTCCTTGTCGCTGCTGCTGGCTCTCGTGACGGTCTGGACGGGCGCGATTGATGGCGTGCAGTAGAAGGGCAGGATCTGTAGCGGGCGCTGCGTGACGGTGGTGGGGTGGGCGGAGCCCTGCTGATCCACGTGGTTAACGTGGTTCCCGAAGAGCCCGCCGTTACGCTTCAAGGAAAACAGAAACGAATTAAAGTTAACTTCGTGTGCACTGATTTTATTCATGATCATTTTAATGAGTGAACTTGAGTTGACAATTATAATGAGCCGAGGATTTTAAAAATTAAATCTTAAATTTTCTTTTTAATGTGGAACTTTTACTCTGTAGATTTCCTCCTCTTCGTCTCCTGTTCCATCCACCAGCCCCTCTTCCTGGAGGTCACATGATATGGCTCGACGGATTTCTGGTCCGATGTCATGCAGCGTGCGCAGGCCGGCCTGCAAAGAGAGCAGCTGCAGGACTAAACCAACATAAGCACACTGCACTCGAGCACACTAACCCTGCTCTGTTTGATACAGTACTGGACATTTTGCAAGTGCATGACTTTTGCACATAAAGTACTACCGCCATACCCTCCCTCATCTGTGAGAATAGTATGCACACATCACTTTTACACTCATACGCATCCTTCACTTTACTTTTATCAGCATTAAGCTTCTATTTTACTATAGTTGCAACATTCAACTTTTTCTTGTATAAAGATCTTTATTTTTACCCTACTGAGTACCTGTCCATTTCCTGTTATTTTTGTGTTGATGTCACACATTCATCCGTATCTGTGTCCATATTGTATTACACATTTACTGTCACTTTTGTGTTTATTTACACTGTTATTGGATTGTGCAATTTCAGCTGATTACTTGTTTATTGATGTAACTGGGAAGGAGAGCAATGCAATTTCAATTCTCTGTGTGTTTTGCACAAATGAAGCGTTGACAAATGAACTACTTGAATCTTGAATAAGTTTTGTGTTTATGGAGCCCACTGTGAAGACCAAAATGGTGGGTTTGTAAGTTTAACACTTAAGATGGGATTAGAAATAACTTGCAGGAGAGTAAAGGTTAGGCGACCAGTTTTGATGATTAAAGTTGTGGAGCAAAGAAAGTCAGTGCAGGGTGCCATGAAGGTTGGAAATGTGTTTGTGTAAGTTTTAGGGTGAAGAAGTGTCAGTGTTGGCAGAACGTCTCTGAATTACCAGGTGTGCGTCACATTCAAATCCCCAATTTCCTGTCTGTGTTTTTCTCACTGACCTGTAGAGCCAAAGTGTTGTTCAGCTTCTCCCACGACCGCCTTCCCACAAGCCCTTGCTCTTTGCGCCTCTTGAACTTTCTGAAGTAGTCCTGTATCAGGAAGGTGGCATAGAACTTCCCCACTGTTACCTCGTCATCTGAGTGAACACACCAGACACACCGAAGCCTCCCACATCAGCAACACTCAACGCTGAAACTCTGTTCAAGACTGAGTCACCACACTCAGATATTCCAAAACAGTGATGAGATCTCACCTACTTCTAATCTCACCAACTATACAAGCTAAGGTCAGTTAGACAAAAACTATCTCAATGATGAGTCATCCTCTCCACAGAAAATTAACTAAAAAGTCAGTTTCTCAACAAAAAAAATCTGTAACAAATACTAGTTAAAGATGAAAAAGAAGTTGGGATGGTACAGAAAATGCTAAATGCATTAAAGAAGAGCTTTCCAAGATGCTCAGCAGCTACTACAACCAACTCACCCTATTTAGTTTGTTGTTTTTTAAAGCAAGAATGTTTTTATTATTTAAAAGTTCTTCTAAACTTTGATAAATATGCATTTATTTAGGTAAAGCAATTGTTGTATTTTGTTAAATGAAAAATACATGATGTCCAAAATAAAATAAATCTGTGTTGTACATGTCCTGATGCATCTCAGTAACCCAGGTAGAAAAAAATCAAAAAAGAAAAAATAAGTAGGTCCTCTGGATGTGTTGTACATGGGCCATTGTTTTGCATTTTTTTATCTTTTGCAAAGAAAGTGAAATTCATTGGTATAGCAGTACTTGGAAAAAATGTCCTGCTTCTTGCTCATGTGGTTGTTTTATGTTTTTAATAAGGAACTATTAATGAAGGTGTCTCATGTGTGTCAGGATTTATATAAGCTTATATTCTGAATATTTCTTGATTTAATAATTTTTTTTATTCTTTATTTTGAATATGCACAAAATATCTAGCTTCCCACTTATTACATAACATATATCTCCATAGAAAATAAAAAATATAAAAATAAGGAAGCTCAAAATTATAAAAATGTACAATTAATAAGCAAACGGAATATTTTCATGCACTGATGAGTAAAACTAAAGTTTTTGAAGCGAATGTGATGTTTTGATTTTTTTTTTCAAACTGGAGATCAGATTACAATTTGAAGCACGAAGACTTATTGAAGTGAATAGCTGTCACTGTTAAGATTCAGCTTAAAGAAACATTTTTTTCCTTTAGATTTAGCATTTTCTACATCATCACAATTTTTTCTGGGTTGTGAATGCATTTAAAGCTGTAAAGGAACATAAGCAATATTTAACAGAACCCCATGACTTTTAAAGGTTTGCTGTTGGAAGTGCCTGTTCAGTCTTGGAAACACTGTCTGAACAGATTGCACGAGAATGCATCAGTTTACACTACACTAACGTAATCAAACATGGGGGCTAATGGAGTTCTCGGCCTTCTCTCCTCTGCAGACAACAGGAAGTCGTGTAAACCTGCGCACCACCATTTAACCTGACAGTAAATAACAAGTGCCTGCAGATGTCAAGCTGCATTTAAACATTTTTCTCATGCAGCAAAACATCGCGTGTCTGAGAAGAAAAAAAACACACAAACTATTTGATCTCTTCGTAAAACACTAACATGTACACAATCTGTCATTTCAGAGACAAACAATCACAATACGTAGCAGTGAGCACATGCAAAATAAAAAAAGGAAGCAGAATGAAGAACACCAGGTGCACAAAGTTTGTGCAGACAAATCATTTTGCCAGGAGGGGAACTGAAACTCCTCTATCTGCCATGCAGGGAAGCTAATCGAGCATTTTCACTCAGATAAGATGCTGCTGAAGCAGAGTGGGGATGACAGAAGCGTAGAATAAACAGTAGCTGAATAGTGGTGTGGGAAATGTGTGTTTCAATCATCGCCAACTCTCTGTGCTCCAGTTTCGCCACAGGAGGAATGAAGTAAAGGCGACACGTATCATTGGGATGGATGCTTTAAGATGGACTAATAAACAGGGTAGTTGATCTATCTTAAAGCCCCCCAAACACTTCTCTACATCACCAGTGGCAGCTAGAGATTATTCAAAAGGCTCTGTTCATAAAGAAAATCTATTATTCTGATTTTCTTGTTTTCCATTCAGGACTTAATTATGTTCTGCCTCAACAAAACTACACAGAACGTATATTTTAATGATAATAATAACATTTATGATATATTTTTGCAAAATTTATGGTTTAAAGCAATCAATCCAGCTAATTTCAACTTTTCACTAATTTGTTTAGGTTTTCTCGACATATTCAGAGTTGTGAAACAGATTTCCTTTCTGCACAGAGCCTGTTGACGTTGCGAAGAGAGGTATCAGCAGTTTCATGCCAGCCAGACTAAGACAGAACTGCTCCAAAGAGCTCAGGACGGCAGAAAGAGAAAGAAAAAAAAAAGGAAGGCCGGCAACTGAAAGCAGAGCGAGCTGTGGAGGAGAGAAGCTCAACAGAAAAAGCACAATTAAAAAAAGAGACAGAAGTTAGTTAAATTAAAGTGCACAAACACATGCAGAAGAATTAAATCTAAATATCTGCAGCATAAAAAATAGGCAGAGTGCAGACACAAAACTAGAGGAGGTCACAAACAAATAAAGTTGGGAAATAACTACAACTAACTATTATTAAATAATATATAGTTGCTTATGTACGTTTAAGCAAACCTGAAACTATTAGCACAACTGGTGGTTACAGGACATTTAAATTCATCTCAATTACAGATGTTTTTGTTTACTTGTAAATAAACACATGAAGGTTTTCATGAATTTTAAGTGAATCTTTTAAAGCAGTTGTTTCCCAAAGTTGGGGTCGGGACCCAAAGTGGGGTCCCGAAACTTCAAGGTGGGGTCCTGAAAAGATTTTCTGGATTAATTACATCTTTGCCTTAGTTGTTACAAAGGAGTGAGGTTAGTATATTTAAAATGGATAAATGTAGTATAAAAATATTGTTACTATGCCCAT